ACAATATAGTCATGTTTTCAGAGCCATTATTAAGGGTGTTTGTTTGTTTGTTTGTGGGAACATAACTTTTCATTTCTTTTGGGAGTGGAACTGCTAAGTCTTATACTATATTTAAATTTATGGGAAACTGCCAAACTGTTTTCCAAAGTGTCTGTACCACAGCAAAGGGAATATAGTCAATAATATTGTAATAACTATGTATGGTGTGGGATGGATACTAGACTTATCAGGGTGATCACTTAGTAAAGTATATAAATGTCTAACCACTATGTTGTACACCTGAAACGAATATAATATTGTAGGGCAACTGTATTTAGAAAATAAATAGATTTTTTTAAAGTAGCAGCATTATCTTAAAAATCCACAAGATGTCAGTGTTTCTATGTGAGAAAAAATAATGTGGTGGTCTGAGATTAAAAGTACTCCCACTAACTGATGCCAAAAATTAACCTAAAGTGAATTTGATATAGAAATAATAGAGATTGGTTGATTTAATTGAATAGGAAATATATGCACATGATACAAAATTCAAAATTGTATACAGTGAAAAGAAAAACTTTCCCTCCCTCCCTACTTCTTTCCCTCATCTCTCAGTCCCATTTCATTCCCCCTCCCCCCAAGGACAGCTATTTTTATTATCCTTCCAGAAATATCCTAAATATATATGACCACAAAAACATAAATATGTATATGTTTTCAAATAATACCAGTGATTATATACAATACATGTGTTCTGTGCCTTGATAGTTTTTCTACCCGATATGCCTCAGAGTGATCCCTTCTGTGGCCTGTCTGTTCATTCTCTTAACAGAGGCTTTTGAGGAGCAAAAGTCCTTCAATTTGACGAAGTACAATTTGTCTTTTTTTTTTTTTAAGTGGGCCTTACTCGAAGTCACAAAGATTTTTCTCTATATTTTCTTCTAGAATTTTAGGTTTTATATTTAGGTCTATAATCCATTTTGAAGTCATTTTTTTGTATATGGTGCAAGATATGGATCATTACCATTTTAATTTGCACATTTGTCATATAGATGTTGTTGAGCATATTTTCATATGTTTAAATATAATTTGTGTTGTGCTTGTTTGTTTGTTGTTTTCTTGTGAGCTCCTTGATCAACTCCTTTGCTGGGGGCTGCTAAGTTTGGACATGCAGTTTGTGAAAGTGGAAACTGAAACCTGGCCGTACACTGCTCACCTAGCCACAAATACTGCATGGGGGCCCCTTTTTCTAATTCACCCCCTGGGAGCCCCATTCTTTACTGTGCACAGAGGTGTTGCCTTTGTCCATTTATCTTCTGTATTCTAGGTCTTTTTCATATTTTTATAGGATGCCCTTCACCACTGTGATGCAAATATATTTTTTCTTAGTCTATTGTATTCTTCACTGTTCATGACATTTTCCCATCAGAACTGTTTTTTGTAGAGTCAAATATACCAATCTTTTCTATTGCGGGTTCCGAGTTTTGTGTCATGCCTAGAAAGTTTCCCTACTCCAGTTATTTTTTAAAATTACTTTATGTTTTATTCTAGCATTTTTCTGTCCCCCCCCCCCCACATTTAAATCTTCTGATTTAGTATGAATTTATTTTGGTGAAAGGCGTAAGATATAAATCCAATTTAATTGTTTTCCCAATTTGCCAACCAGCCGTCCCAACACTGTTTACTAAATAATTCATCTTTCCACCACTTACATAAAATGGCAGGTTTATCATAAATACAATTCTTATTCTTAATGTAAAAAGTAGCTATGTTGCTCTGCCCAGAGGCCACATGCTACACTCTGATTCTATGGGAAAGACACAGATGACAAGAAAAGAAGGTGATAAGAGAATTATTTAGCAAAATATTTTCCAAGCATGGTTTGGATTAGAGTCCAAGATTACTACATTTGCAATATGATACAAAAAAAAATCTGTTGCAATAGCAATAACCTTGATCATCAGGAAAATATTAAATTATATTTACTATTTTCTATTTGTTATGCAGGAAAGTGTGCAATGTTTTTGAGAAAAAATGATGCAGAATATTTTTCACACATACTCCAACACACATACACACACACATGTTTCCTTCCTCAGGAAAGCAAACTCTGTAATGGCTAAACCTTTGGGCTCTGAGTCAGACAAAACTGTGAATACTAACAGTATCTAACTCAAGGGTTAATGTAAGGATTAAGCGAGCTTGTTCAAAAAAGGTGCCTGCCTCAGAATAAACAGTCAATATTCAGTAGCTACTAACTTCTGTTTGTGTAAAGTGCTTGGATGAGTTTATACTGATACCCTTAATTCTAATCCAATACCACACGGTTCATTTAGCATTCTCTCTTTCCTTATTTATAATTTCTTCCTCCAAAAAAAAGGAAAACCTAGCTCTCATTATCTATGATTTACTTATTTGTTTAAAAATGTGTGTTGTTTTGTTTTTCAGGGAAGTGTTTTCTTCAGAAGCCTACAGAATGATCTCTGACTCTACTCCAGAGGTGGGTAACCACAGAAACTGCATTCATTGATCCTTCACTTTCTGCCTTCTCCTAAACCCAACTCCAATATCCCCTAGTCACCTCATTATAAACTAAATGAAGCTGGAGTTCTCTGTCCCCCAACCCAAGTGCTAGAAGCTCAGGGCCAAGGTAGGGTAACTGAAACTTGATATAAATCCCTGCTTCCTGTGTAGACCAAAAGGAAGTCACCCTGAGTTGAAGATCTTTTACAATGTTAGCAATGTGATCTAGGGGTTTTTGAATTGGTTATTGAAGATCTAGAATCCACTCTGAGTCCTAGCTGATTCTAATAGTTATTCCCATACTTCCCACTCAGCCAGACACGGTCATTTAACCTCTCAGTATTCCCTACCAAATGCTGATAGTGATTTAACCCTGCCTTGCACCCTTTATGGATGTTATTTGTGAAAATCAAATGAGAGGATCAATGGGTCTGTACTTTGAAAATTTTCCGGTACTAAGTAAACTGAAGGACCTCTGGAATGTGTCTTCAGCACATTATTACTGGTGACTTTTACCTAAATACTCAGATGTACTATCTTGACTCACCTGGTAGTGGTAGCTCAGAGATCACTCTTCCTGCTCTGACCAACCCTAAATTGGAAGGCAGAAGTATTCTAAGAATACAGGGAAAGTGAGGCTGCTATAGTGAATAGAGTGGCTAACAAGACAGGATATCTTGGGAATCTCTTAAAATAGGGAAGTCAAAATGCTTTGGCTATTAAATAATTTTAAAATATGTATTCATTTATTCAACAGCTATTTGCTGAGTGTCTTACAAAGGGATGAAGAAATGAGAAACTCCATCCCTGCCCTCAAGAAGTTTAGAGTAAGGGCTCTGGCCAGTATTTCTCAGTGGTTGGAGTGTCAGCCCGAGTTCAGAAGGGAGGAGGGTTAGGTTCCCCATCAAAGATCAAAGGCACATATCTGGCTTTTGGGTTCGATCCCCAGCCCTAGTAAGGGCACATGCCAGAGGAAACCAAGCTATGTGTTCTCTTTCACGTTGATTTCTCTCTTTCTCTCTCTCTCTCTCTTTCTCTCTCTCTCTCTCTCTTTCTTCCCCCTCCCTTCCACTCTCTCTAACAATCCATGGAAAAAATATCCTTGGGTCAGGATTAACAAAACAAAACAAAAGTTTAGAGTAGGGAATCCAGTGCACCCCTAGAGTAGGTAGTATGATAGTCACAATTTCTTGAAGACCTACTGTGAGCAAGGGATGGTGGTGGTCTACCTATTATCTCATTTAACATAGGTCTAACATGTTTTCTCATTTAATACATGCAACTGTCTTGAAGGTAGGTATTATCTTTGATAATAATGAGGAAATCAACAATCAGAGAGGTAAAGAAATTTGTCCAAAATCACACATGTAGTAAATGCAAGAGTCAAAATTGAAATCCAGGGCTGCCTGTACTCTAAATCTCATATTCATCCCCCCACGATAATAAGGTAAGAGTAATCCATTCACTGACGGAATATTTACTGAGAACCTTTTTGTTCCAGCCATTGTTCTGGATGGAGTGATATGAATGAAAAAACAAAGTCCCTATATCATGGATAAAGACAATAGAACAAATACATAGTATTTAGTACATTAGCTGGTAAATGCTGTGGGAAAAAATTAGGCAGGATAAGAAGGATAGGGAGAGGGGGGTTGCTATTTTATTTTATTATATTTTTAATTAATTAATTTAAAATATGGAACGCTTCACGAATTTGCGTGTCATCCTTGCATAGGAGCCATGCTAATCTTCTCTGTATCGTTCCAATTTTAGTATATGTGCTGCCCAAGCGAGCACAGAGATTGCTCTTTTAAATAGAATCCTCAGGGAAGGCTCTGATAATATGAGGTTTGAGTGGAGATCCACAGGAAGTGCCCGAGTAAGAGAAAAGACTGGCAAGAAGAGCTTCCGCCTTTGCCTGCCTGTGAGTTCAGGCTGAAAAAAGAGGGCCAGGATGCATAGGAGGTGTTTATGGAGAGGATTGGGCTCAGACTCAGAAGACTTGAGCTTTATTTAATTTATTGACAAATTATTTCACTTTCGAGCCTAAATCCCCTTCCCTGTAGTTGGAAATAATCCTTGCCCCAGCTTCGGGCACGAAGCTGCCAAAAGGATAAAATGTGATAGCCATGTGAAAGCCCGTTAACAAATAACACAAGTGAGAAAGCAAGACTAGGTGCCAACTTTTCAACCGAAAGGAAGTCTGTGTAGGAATATACTAACAGGAATTCCTAGTTCAAGTGGACCCATCACCCTAGACATCTTTTTGAAAAGCTATCTCAAAAATAGACTAAAATAAATAAGCATACGTTTCATAATAAGTCTCTGCAGAAGATCCCTGCTTAAGTTACACTACTCAGAAGTTGAATTGTGTGTTTGAACTATACTCTGGGATTCGCATCTTAATCCCACGCCCCCACCTAGGTATTTGCCTTTTTTAACCACGCCCCCTGCCAGAACTCCATTTCCCAGCATGCCCCGGGCTCCTGTAAATCGGCAGTCATTGTGACGCAAGTGCCACAGCTTTCTGGGAATTGTAGTTTATTCGTCCTCCAGTTGCGGAAAGCTCTAGAGCTGTGGACTACCACTCCCGTGAGGTAGTGCGGAATTCCACCCTGTTCGCGGCGTCTTCGAACGCGCCGCGGCAGCCATGTTGGACGTGGCCAGCACAGGGGCCGGCACCAGGGGGTTATCCAAGCAGCTGTCACGATGCTGGGGGCCCTGGTGTTAAGGAGAACAGCGCTGGCGCCGCGGCTCCTCCTCCATCTGCTTAGGTCTCCATCACTCGGGAGCCACCGAGGTCCCTCCGGCCGGAGTGTGACCACCGGGGGCTGTGGGGAGCCGCAGTGGCTAAGGGCGGCCATCGGGGGGCGTCCTGGAACATCGCTGGCCTCGCTCACCCGAAGAGGGGCAGCCACCGGGGGGCGCCACGGAAGACGCACGGAGACCCAGTGCCTCGCAGCCGCCACATGGGGACGCCTTCCTGGCCCCGAAGACACATTCCCCGGACAGAACTGCTGGAATGGGGTCCCCACCAGAGGCAGACTGGGCATGTGGGCCCTGGCCACGGCGCTGGTGGTTCACTGTTACAGCAAGAGCCCGTCCAACAAGGGTGATTATCGGGACAATCTGGGGTCCAGGAAGGGAGAGGCGGGAGGAGTGTCTTGACTGTCTTTAGAGGGTGGGAGTTGCTTTTAGCTTTAGAGCAGCAGAGACAGTCCTGGAGGGACCCAGACATTGTCACGGGGGTAGAGTTTGCACTGGGAGAGCTCGGTGCCTCCGAGTTGCATCATTTCCAGCGTAGTGCCGCCTTCCCTTCTTTGGGCATCACTTTGTCCATCTGTATAAAGGGAGCATCGGACTAAACCTCTAAAATTAGAGCGTGGTCATTTAATTCTCGAATATTCTGCCTGGTCCAATTCCTCTTTTAAGAGGTCTTGGGGAAACTGCGGTGTGTTTTGAGGGCAACCGCTAAATGGTTTAGAGAGGTTTACCCCCTCAGATGGCCTAAGAAGGGAAAAAGACTTGGTTGCAAATGCCAGCTTTGCCACCGCTCATCGCTTGCACCTCTCTGGCTTCAGTTTCCCCACTTATACAGTGAAGGGTAATTTCTCAGTACTTTTACAGTGCTGTTACTTTCTCTTTCTTGGCGTTCAGCAGCCTGGGTCTGTCCATCAGACTCCCAGGGTTTTGCTATGCCTGGTCTCAGGCATGAAGAGAGCTTGCCATGTGGGCCAGTTGGCAGAAGGAAGACTAGGAAGTTGGCTCTGTAGGGACCCAAAGCAACCATGGGGGCTGGCCGACCCCGGTCGGCATCTCACCTGGAGCTAAGCAGGTACTGGGAGAGCAGTCAGAGAGCCAGACATGAGTCCAACCACTCAGGGTCTCAGTTGTTCCTCAGTGGGGGAGCCTGAGGCATGGTGTTCATGGATTACATGCGTTCCCAGCTCTGAGACTGGAGTAAGGGGGGCTGCCCTGACATTTGTTTACTCAGCAGCTGTAAAGGAAAGGCCTTGGACTGGGAGTAAGGACAGCTGGGGCCTTGTTTTGGTTCTCCCTCTAACTCCCATTGTGACTTTGGACTCTTGCTCCTCCTCAATGGTCCTCTGTTTCTTCATCCTACAGTTTGAGGATGTTGACGTAGAGCTCTAAGGGCTCTTCTAGCTTAGGCATGCTATGATTCTATCACTTTCAGCAATTTTTTGGATACTCTCAGTGTATCTAGTTTTGGGCACAAAGTTAGTTAAGGAGACATTGCAGACAGTTAGGCTTGTGGGTCTGGTGAGTGGTCTGACTATGTGTAGTTGGGGGATCAGAGGACCAACAGAGTCAGGAAAGCTTTCCTGGAAGATTGGAGATCCCTGGAGGATGGGGAATTTGAATTTGCATTCTGACGGCTGAGACAATAGATGAAAATGTCTCACTGTGACCTCCATGAGGTTTTTTCAGGTTGATACCAGCTCCTTTCTTTAATACCTTCACATTGTCCACCATAGTGTTGGAACTTAGTAGGTACTCAGTAAGTGTGTCTTGAGTTGGATTGTATTCCATGCAGAGGCTTCAGGGAACAAGGATGTGGGAGTCACACATTAGCATGGCGTGTGCAGGAGCTAGCAGAGTGGCCAGCCTGGTTGGAGAACAGGGGGTCTTTGGGGTGAAGTGAGAGCAGATGGAGTGGGGCCTGCATGTCATGCAGGATGGTTTGGAATGTCTCCTTAGGCCTTGGAGGGCCATGAGCTCAGGGAATGTCCCGAGGCCAGTATGTTTAGAAGTATTAGGGGGGGTGTCCCAAGTCTTGCCTTTTAGAAGTGCTTGGGGGCTCTAGACTGGACTTTGTGGCATGTGAACCCCAGCAAGGAGACCAGAGTCCACCATCTGACTTGCTGGCTACCCTGTCCCCTGACTCGGAGTTGTAAACTCAGGCCCTCAGTGCAGTGTGATAGAAACTGTACCTTGTAGGAGCCAGGAGGCCTGGGTTCTAATCTCGGCTCATTCTTCTTTTCCTCTGTGACTTTGCAAAAGCCAATTCTTTCTGCAGAGTGAGGGAAGAGAAAATATAGCCATCTCTGAAGAAGGCTTGTTTCCCTTCCAGCTGGGGGCTGTCTGGGCATGTGCTTAGGGAAGATAACCAGGAAAGACCTGGCCCTGTAGTCTATGGTTGATGGGTGGAGCCACTAATGTCTGAACCACAGAACTGGTTTACATATGCTCGTTCAGGTAGTTATATTATCTTTGTTGTACAGATAAGGAAACTGAGGCTCAGGAGGTTAGCTGAGTTGGCCAAGTGGTACAACAAGTAAATGGCAGAGGTGTGGTGGGAGCCCATGTCTGTGTATCTCCAGATCCCGTTTTCTACGCTGCTCCAATGCCTCTTCCTGTTGCAGTGGGTCAGTCTCTTGGCTGGACTGAGAACTCTCTGAGGCAGGACTGGGCATGAGTTCGTCCAGTGTTCAGTAATGGATCTCAGAACCATGCTGGGCACAGAGGACTCCCCAGGCACTTGGTATTTGGAAAAAAAAGAAAGTGCTTCTGTTGTCTTTGGAGATTTGTTTCCAGTCAGACAGTTTTTCTTTGTGGCCACAAGGTGGTGCCAGCAGGCTGCCCAGGGGAGGCCAGCTTAGCTTTTTTGCTAGGTAATTCCTAAAGATCTGAACCCTGTGCTTTGGGTCTCGCTTTGGTGGGCTTGGCACTGGGGAGTTTGCAGATTTTCCAACCATCATTTCATTTTCTCAGCATTCTGTGAGGCTGGCAGGGCAAGGGTTTTATTGCCTCTGCTTTACAGTCAGGGAAGCTGGGGTCGAGAGGGAAAGGGGCTGCCACAGCACATGTTGAGTAGGGGGCAGATTGTGTAGAAGCCAGGTTTCCCGACTCCTGGTTGGCGCTCTCTCTGCTCTCAGAAGGGCCCACACCCCTTCCTGCTCCTCCCCATCCTGACACTCCCTCTGGATGTGTGACCTAGGACATCAAGATTCAAAACTAGGCTAAGAAATGAGTTAGAGAGAAAGTGGGCAAGGTAGGGGAATGACTAATAATGATAATCATGTAAAACAGAGAGCTTGATAGCTACTAGTAGAGAGGAGTGAAGGAATTCGCACAGTGAGCATTTTTCATTCACTGGCAACACTTGTGCTAGCCCTGTACTGGGATCACCTGTGTGATGAGAGGAGGTAAGAGTTTGGCTCTATAATAGATGTGGAAGACAAGTTGTTAACATGTGGGCATGGGATGATTAGCCTTCTCTTTACCTACAGGCATACCTTGTTTTATTGCACTCACTTTATTGTGCTTCAGATAAGTGTTCATTACAAAAAAAGAGTACGGCTCACTTTATTGCGATGTGTGCTTTGTTGCTGTGGTCTAGAACGGAACTCATAGTCTTTCTGAGGTATGCCTCTATCTTGGCATCATTTCTCTTGTTAAAGCCCATGTTTCTGAAGTGCTTCTACTTTCACTGTTTTACTGGGCCCTCTAAGCTGCCCTGAGGAATAGGTCTGACCAGTGCCCTGTCTCTCTACAGATGCAGCCCTGATGGAAGCTGCTCGAGCCAATAATGTTCAAGAAGTCAGCAGGTGAGTGGCAAACCCCAGGCCTGTTCTCCCCCACAGAAGATGGCTGCTGCCTTGGAGGAAATCTCACACTAAGCTGGGAATTAAATTCTGTAGTCACAGAGTCACTTGGGCTTCCTTCTGGAGCTCTGTGTTTCCTTTCTTCTGACCCCAAACGCTCCTGAATCCTTCTACTATTTTGTTCTTCACAGGGCATGTTTGGAGTCCCCTTTGCATCCTATGGGTTCTTCACTGAATCTTCTAATTTGTTCTTGTTTCTTTGTAGAACTGGCCAGGTGTTAGTGCTTGTTGCCTGAGTGGGGTGCAGGTGGGCACCCATGGAGAGGCTTGGGGATTTGGGAAGAAGCTGGAAGATACCTTTCTGACAGGTTTTCTTGGGCTAGAAAGGCCTGGGGTGCACATGATGGGCCTCTGCTCATGGGCTGATTGTGTTTCTCCAGTTTCCCTGCTCAGCTGGGCCCCTTATGACCACTGGCCTGTTAGATCTGAGGCTTGTTCTTGGGCACGGGCAGGACTCAACTCAGAGATCAGCCTGGTGCCAGGAGCAGGGCAGAGTCTGTGTCCAGGATGGATGCTCAGATTGGGACAGCATAGGGCATCAGTATGAGACTAGGGGGCAAGGGTTTTATTCTTGATGAAACTAGTGGCACTCACTGGGCCTAATCTTGGCCTTTTTCCCCCCCCTTTGCATAGAATTAGATGGCCATAGGACACTCCCCTTCCATACTGCTAAGTCCACATTTTAGACAGGAAGTCTGGTGCTTGGGGTGGCTAGCTGTGCACCCAGTTCCACATACCCTCATGTCCTTCCCCACTCCAGCTGCCTGAACATACGAGAAAGTGTTGAAAGGCAGCTACAGCCCCCACCAAGACTTACTGCTTTGATTCCCTTTCATTTTATCTGCAGCATTATTGATTCTCAAGGGTGCTTTTGAGTATTAATGTTCAAGGCTTAGTTTTTAATAAACCACTTTTGGAAGTATGAGCTGGGAGTTGTTTCGTAGCTTAATAAATATGATAGAGCAATAGTTTAATAAACATGCAATGATGCATCTTAAAAACGGAGCACAGATGTCAGCTTGTTGTTATAAGAGCCATTCATAACTGCAGGCTGTGCGTGGCATCTTCATTCCCCCAGAAACAGATGAGCCTCGCTTCCTTCTACTGCAGTACCAGGGAGGGGGTGGGGGTGAGACTGGCCAAGCCCCCTCCTCTCAGGCTTGTGCTGACCCTGGAATCACCTGTTGGTAACTGCTAAGGGCTGCCAGGCTTCTGCTTTTCTCTGGCAACCCACTGTAGGCAGCGCGATTGCAGAGCAGCTGTGCTGTGACTCCACCTTTCTTCCATCAGCCAGGCAGGCTGAGTTTGCCCTATCCCATTGAGCCCCCATGTGTTGATTATTTTAGCTCTTTCGACATTTTTCTAAAACAATTAATCACCTGCCCAAAGAAAAGAAAAAGTGATGGGATTTATGGTGCATGTGTGATTCAGCAACATTCATTCTTGTCTTTGTGGATTTGGCCTGTAGGGACCTTTCATGTGTGTCTCCAGGCTCTAGCCTGCTTTTCCCCTGCCTCCTCTTGCCCATCTCTCTTGGTTGTGATGACTCAGAATCTTTCTTCACCATTTGTGTGGAACCCTGCCCTTCAGCATGACAGTCTCCCTCTCGCTCTCCCACCTCCTTCCAGAAGCAAAGAGCAGGGGACAAACTGAGCAAAGGCAGGGGAAGAAGATGCTGGCTGGCTGCTGGGCCTGGTGTCATGCTGCTGCTGCTAAGGTGGTGTTTGTGCAGAGTTGCAGGGTCGGGAAAGAGGGAGATGATTTGAGAGAAGCTGGAATGTACAAGCTCTGGAATGCCCAGGAAGGAGTTTCGAATTTTTATCTTATGATCACTGGGGAGACATGGGAAGTTTTGAGCAGGGAAATTGCCCAGTTAGGGTCATTCAGAAGGGTGAATGAATTGGGCAAGGGCTAAAAGCAGATCTGTTAAAAGGCTGTTTTAGTAAGATAAATTCAAGGTGATGAAGGCCTGAATTAGGACAGTCTTCTCCTTCTCACCCCAGGCAGTTCCTGCATATGAATGAATGAGTGCACCAGGGGTCCTCAAACTTTTTAAACAGGGGGCCAGTTCACTGTCCCTCAGACC